AAGACGTTTAAGTATAAAATACAGTAATAATGTACAGGTTTACTGTGACTACTTATATAATATAGTAGTGGTATAATACATTTTTGGAAATTTAGCCTAGCATGATTCTGAAATGAAAACTGCTCACCTACTTTAAACTTTTAATTCTCACTTAGGTCCATCTGCATCCTTTGCAATATATCCAAGTCTATTAAATAACTCCCCACCAGCAAAATCACTTTCAAAAGCCTTAATTACACAACGATGGATGGAACTGCATGAAGAGAATGAATAACATCCCATAAATCTACTAATTAAGTGAGGAATAATCTAATAATAATAATCTGTTTTAATGCACAGGGTTATTTGATTAGCTGTGCTTATAATATACAATTTTGTTCTATAAATGTCTTGCCTTTTAAAACTTTGTCACAGCGGTCTCTTCTGCTGCATCTCTAGGACTCACTCCACACTTCTCAGATGATAGAGGGGTGATGTAGCCTGCCTGCAGCAACTTCTGAATTTCAGCATTATAAGTAGCAGCCAATTTTGGCTCCCTGGATAATCGTCTCTCTGTACTACATAGAAGAGCAAGGACAGCTTCCTTTGGCGCATTCAAAGGGGGAAGTGACTCTTTCCAGAGCAATGGGGCAGTGTATCGATTTACTCCATCCACATTAACTCTGATGGTCTTCTCTTCCAGAATGCGGAGGGCTTCTGCATCTTGACGCGAGCGTGTGACTACCTTATCAGACCGATAAGGCATGATGTCCAGTTTCCACAGCTTTTCAACCTGGTTAAAGAGTTCAGAATCTGGTGTCCCACAAGAAACAAAGAAACATTCCAGTGGCTGGAGACGAGGACATAAGAACCTTGATGGACCTTGCAATGTACAACCAAGTCTTGTATGCACAGCTGCTGGTACTCCTTTAGGTCCCAACCTCACCGGCTCCACAGGCGTGATCAAATGGGGATAGTCTGAAACGATAAGCACTAATGGTTGTGCTAGATTGATATCATGTAAGGGCAGATCTCTAAGGTAGTGATAATTTTGCTGCAAATCAGTGATGGGATAAGTATGTTGGACACGACCCAGCTCTTTAGCCGTAAAGGCTCCATGGATTTGGAATGATCTGCCAGGTTGCGTGGCAGGAGCTATAGAGGAGGACACCAAACTTCCACGGATGGTGTGAACCTCCTGCCGCACAGTACGAAGGGCTTGGTCTTCAACTGTACCTTGAAGGCCTAAACGTTGAGCAGCCTCATGCAGCAGAATCGTTCTCTCAGATCCGTCATCTAGTACCGCATAGGTCTCTAGCGACTTGTCACCATTCTGAATCACAACCCGACTAATTTTAAGTAACACTTGCTTTCCGCTTGTGGGACGGTCCAGATACAAAGTCTGGGAAGTGGAACTTGCCGGACGTGTACTCCCTTCTGCCTCTTTGATGTTACCTTTACTGCTTGAATCAGAGTTGGCATTAACATCATGAAGAACTTCAAGATGTCTCCTATCACATCTCTTGCACTCCGCTTTCAAGGTACACTTTGAGGTCTGATGACCAGCATCTGTGGCCCATTTTGATCCAATTTTCAACCTGCTCCTTGGTCAAGAACTTGAAGTTCGAGCACTGATTCATGTAATGCTGGATGGAATCGCAGAAAGGACAATACCTTTTGGGCTTCTCCTGCACACTCCCTTCTGCTCTCCCCCATGCAGGACAGTAGTCACCTTTCGAGCCATAAATCCAGTCTTCTTATCTTTGCGAGGACTAAGCGTATCATGATCTGGGTAGGTACAGTACTGAGTTCCCTCCACCTGCACACGAACCTCATATTCAAGCCAGTCGGCCAAATCAAGCAGAGTAAGAATCAGAGTCTGAAGAGGGTTAATAAATCTCTTAAAGTTGGCTCTTAGGTCGAAAGGCAACTTGGCTAAGAGGCGAGATACATGAGAACCACACTTCAGCTCAGTCCAACCTGGGCTACCCAACTGATTCAACATTCCGACTAAGTCCCGAACACGAAGAGCGAATGCCTTGAAAGCTTTGACATCACCACTTTTGATATTGGATCCATCCATCAAACTGGTTATCCGCTGCAATGCCAGCTGATGTGGTTGCCCATACATGTCAGCAAGTGCTCGCATAGTGTCACTGAAGGGAGAACGACTGTGACTGTAAGAATCCGCAAAAAGTAAGGCATCCTCCAATTTCAAATGATCCATGAGTATTTGAAACTTGAAAGATTCAGAAGCATCATACGGCAGAATGTTGTCTAAAGCAAGCTTAAGTCTGGCGAACTCTTGTGGATCATCATGAATGAAATCTGGGATCGTGGGTGTAGGCCCACGATATTGCACTGGCAATGGGTGCCAGGGACGGTTGAAATCTTGATCTAAAAATGAATATGAGCGATCAGACGGATACAGCTGTTCGTTGCCATGATAGCAGTCAGTTCTCTGGTTCCATTGAAAATAAGGACTAAAATGATCAAGTAAGGCAGTTTTCTGCGAAGTATACATTCGATCCCCAAAGCGTGGATCATGAAGATTTCTAACAGGCCCATACTCTGGATGTGAATGACAAGTCGCCTGCATTTGCAGGTAAACGACTTAAATCTCGAGGGGGGTGAAATGGCGGATTGGACTGCAACAACATGGCATTATCAGACTGACCATAAAGAGAATCAGAGCGACGCTGCTGCAAACCACGAACATTAGCAGTATGGCCAGGAACATGCTGTGGAGAATTATTCCCACTATTAGATTCCTCGATTCCGAGGCTTTGGGAATCGAGAGTCGATTCTAAAGTTTGGAATCGATTCCATCAAGGGGAATCGACTCCTCGTTCAGAACCTTTTTCAGTTTAACAAAGCTTATCTATGGGTGCCTCTCAAACG